TTCTGACTCAGGCTACGTCATCGACGAGACGGTGCTTTTAATTCCAGGCAAATGCCCATCGGTGAGCAACGCCTTACAAACTTCTTTCACGCACAGGGTAGGATAGGCAGAACAGTTCGTAGAAATGGGCTATTAGTGTCCGTTTGATAAGGGGAAGGGGAGAGGGGGGGAAAGGCCGCCTCGGATTCAACATGGTTTGGATTGTCTTCATTCCAACCGCGTAGCAGGTGGTTTGCACGCCGGTCCCCGAAACTAGCCTAGACGTCTAGAACGTGCTAACACGGCCGAACCGATCTTGCACGAAACGCTATCCCGATGCTTTCCCTGCGCCCAAGTGCCATGCTCTCCTCTCCGTTTCCGTCAAATCAGGCCCCCTCATGCCCGCCCTATCTATCTTCCCATTCCCCCAAGACCAAAGGTGATGGGTATGCATGTAGATGCCTCTCAGTTGGGGCAGGTCTATAAGGCACGAAACAGCCACATCAGGTCAGTAACTAGCGTAATCTCGCATGAAGAAAAAAGATCGGTAAGCGAGAAAACCCGCCCTCTCAGAAGCGGACGGGCTGTAGAAAGGTGCAGGTTGAGGGTGGAGAGGGAAAAGCCAATGGGGTAGAAAAAGAGGGGAGGTGGGAGGTATGTAAGGTAGGTTTTAACTCACAGCGCCGCAGCTGCCGCAGGTCTTCCCCTCGCCGGCGATGGCGGAGCTGCACTGAGGGCAAGTAGTGTGACCCATTGTTTCGGATATGTGTTTTGGTTTTGGGGGTTGTGGCGGAGAGGGTTTTTTTGGTTTCGTAAGATGTGATTTGTAAAACCAGAGATGGGATTGGGTTTGGAGGGGGGGGGAGGAGAGTTGTCAGAGAAGAGGGGAGGACGGAGGCGAAATATAGACAAAATCAGGGTCCTCTTAAAGCGGGGAAGGGCTTAGCAAGTCATCCCCCGAATGCCCCTCTCCCCTCGTGAGCCAAGATTAGAAGCGGGCTTGTTGGTGAGTGTTTGGTTTCAATCCCACCAGGGGGGAGCAAGATCAGGCGGGCGCGGGTTCCTTGTCTCACGGCGACGATGCGGAAGGTCTCCAGCAGGTACCGGGCCGGGGAGTCGTCGTTCATGGCAGCCCTACGAGTAGTCTTGCGAGACGTGTCTCTGGGTAGCCACTCGTCTGCATGACCTCTGTCATGATCAGGCTGATGGTGGGAGGGAGGGGGACGTGGAGTGATGGACGTGGAGTGACCTACTGACCAACTTGCCGTCCTCGTGGGTTACATTCCGGCTGGAGCCTCGAGGGCCGGGGAGGGCAGCTCCTCTCATTGGTCTTGCACGTCGTCACGTCCGCCGATGCCCATGGTCGTCTGCGGTGTCCCACGCCGCTTGGCGTTGTTGATTGTCGGTATGGATGATGGCAGACGCAACTGGCCAATCACAAGGTTCTCGGACTTCAGAGGTTCGGAGTCTTGAGTACTATCCAGGTAGGTAAGTGGAACAGCTGTGGGTAGTGGGCAAAGGCGGAGCAGGGTTCGAGGAAGCCAAGGGGCAGAACCAGCTCTGGCAACCGAGTGACAAGTGGTCTGCTTGTCTCCGGCACTGATAGATTTATATATCACTCGTACTTGGAATCCAGACAGCAGCTGCAGGTGACGTATAATATATATATATCTTAGTATATATGGTACTACTCTGTCAGTAATGGAAAACATTAACGCCTTTTCATATGCCCTCGGCTCCAAGTACAGCCAGACCCACTAGGTAGGTTTTGTGAGCTGCAAAACGCCGGCCAGTCTAAGCAGATATCATACAGCATGTATCCAAGATCGAAGATGTGAGCCAGCAACTCTCTGTAGGATAAGCAAGAAATAGTAGTAAAGTACGGCCACGAAAGATTGCAGGTGTAAGTCGTTTGGCGGACGACGGATATTGCCAATATAAAACAGATGGCCAAACAGGAATCAACTTGGGCACTTTGCCGCATGATGGTGACCTAGGAGGGGGGTGTGAATACGACTGTCCTTTTTCTCAAAGCGAAGGCTGGGTGGGTAGCTTACCATCGAACATTTTGTGCACCGCCTGGATGACGCTGATCACCATGACGGCTATTCCAAAAACAAGAACGCCATATGATAAATATGTCTTCCAGCTCCTCTGAGTGAGCTTGATATAACACATGGGAGGCATCACGTACGCCATGGCCACCGCGCTCGTTGCGCCAACTAATTCAAACACAGCTCCAAGGTCACAAGTCAACAAGCTGAAGAAAGTGGCGGATGCCACGAGACCAGTGCTGAAAACAACATGCCGAGTGAGGCTGAAAGGCGCATTTGGGTAAAAGTACGTCTCCATAACCTCGCGGCATACGAAAGCCTCGAGCGGGAGGGTCGTCAACATGTTGAGACCAAAGCACAGTCGCGCAACGTTGACCATTGTGTTGTCTGCTGGGAAATTGTTCAACACGTTTCCTTGCGTCTTATCACCGAACACAAGGAATCCCGACAGTGCTAATGTGAGGCACATGAGTGTCGAGATGCCGACCGAGTAGTGGGTTACTCGAGAGAATCTATCGATCGTAGGAGTTTTGAGGGAGCCGTAGATCAGGAGCGAGTTATGGTGGCATACGAATGCTATCGACAGGGGGAGCAGCGTCAGTACTAGCTATGCACAGGCAAAGTCACTTATAGGGGTAACCAACCAAAGGAAATAACGCCGATGGCTTGGAAGATGCCACCATTGATAGTCAGGTCAGGGAGGCTGAATCCTCCTCGTTCTGAGCTGGGTGTCAGTATCCCTTGAACGAGGACAGTCACGACAATGGTGAGCATGCCAATGAGAGCAAGTGTGCTCGCTTTCGCCAACTACGCCAGCCGGTCAGCCATGAAATGCCCTTCGCGCCGGAGAACCCAAGACAATGGCCAAATATAGCACACAAAACCAGGACCCTTTCTCTTACCTTGGAAATGTCTCGATAGAGGGTCAGCGGGAAGCTGATGCCCATACAGAATACAGTGATGGCGACTTTTCGGTTCGCCAGCAGACCAAGCACTGGGATGCTCGGCAGGTTCGGCCAGATGGCAAGCAGAACATGCGGAATCGTGTCGCCAACAATGACGCCAAAAGCCACCATGCCGCCAAAGGCGAAGACCCACTGGGCGACGCTGATGGCGATGAGTCCAGGCTTTCCAAAACAGTATTCGACCGTGCCCTGGAAGTTGCTCGTACCGCTGAGCTTGCTGTTGATGACGATCAGACAGATGGTCCAGTCAATCAGCACCGAGAGGCCGATGAGTAGCAGGGTGCCGGAAAGGAGACCGGCCTGGCGCATGGCGTAAGGCTGGCCGATGATGCCAGCCCCGATGATGGAGTTGGCCATGTTCATAAAGGCCGACGGCAGGGAGGACTTGGGGCGCCGCAACTCATCCTGTAACTCGTCCGTGTCCGGGTCTCCGCGCAGCGAGTTCGCAACCGTGACGCTGGGCGCCTCCATCTCGCCCAGCAGCGGCACACGGTGATGCGAATCGCTGCTCAGCCTCTCGGAATCGTCGTCCATGCTGAAGCGCTCCCGCTCCGAGGACATGGATACTCTACCGCTGGAGTCATTGCTGTAGCCCACAACCTCTGGTGTCAAATCGAAGCGCACTCGGTTGGCTGATCTCGGGGTGGGCAGCGGCTCGTCGCTGTTAGGCGCCTTGTCTTCGTGGTGCGTTCCGAGATCATCGTAGTCGTCATCGCCGCCGGCCAAAAGGCCCCTGCCTTCATGAGAGTTCGCCTCGCCATCCATCCGGACCTGGGTCATTGTGATTGAGAGTGAGGTAAGGAGCAGAGCATTTTCGAAAGCTGGGTCTCCCGTATCCACCCAGGCGTCAAAAGGGGCGATGCGTTGCGTAGGCAGTGAGAGATGTGGTGATACGGGGGTAAGCGCGGGAGACGAACAGCTGTGATGTTCGAAGTTCTGGAGCAATGGTGGAGAGGCCCTGAAATGCAATTGATCCATCCATTCATGCACGTAGGGGACAGGTACAGCAGTCTCTTTAGTGGACAGAGCGCCAGCGGGTCACGGCCCATTACCGGCACATATCTTTCCTGCTCCCTGGGCGCCTCCTATTCTCGAGTCTCCCGCTAATTTAATCATATCATACAGTTACGTCAGGTGCATTTGCCTTGAGGTGAAACCAAACTTTATTTCTGCACGGTGCTTGAGAGGAGATGCCTTGGGATACATCCATCTACAATGAAGTAAGATGCCTCAAAAAGTACTTTCGATGCACCTGTGCCCCGGGCGGCTAGTGGCGGCACCAATTCATACTATAATCCATAGATATTACCTCCCGCGACTGTGATGTCCGTGCTCCAACATCGTAATACAGGTGGCCCCCAAAAATAAGGACAACATACCCCTTCTTCCTGGTGGACATTAAAGATTTTTCTATTCTGATCCTTCGCCATGTGGTGTGATTGAGCCAATCATATTCTCATCGGCAAGCAATAGGTCCCCGAGAACTAACATGCATAAGGCAATCAGCCAACACTAAAGGTAGCCACATCCCACTATTAATCATGGCTCATATCCTCCAGGACGGGGAAGATGAGGTATGCAGCGGAGCTTGGGCTATAGCAGATGACGAAAAGGCACCAGGCATCAAGTTGAAGGCTTCTTAGAAAAGCAGACCGTGACAATAATGGAAACAATAAAGAGATGCTACTTAGACAAACCATGATGCGAGAAGTTTTAGTTTCAAGCTTACCGGTCATTGAAACATATATCATGGACAGCTCCCAAGAAACTGCGAGATTTTTTGTGTAAAAATTTCACGTCACCCTCTTGGGCGTCTATCATGTATTACTATCTAAACTACATAAAATGCGGTTTGTCTCGCATATGAATTGTTGATCGATTTTATTGATCAAGTAAACGGGTATCATTTTCGTCGTATTCCATCCTCCACTCCCACTAGCTAATACAATGGGTAGCAACACCTCTCGCTGCTATTCTGTGAAACAGCTTCAACCAGGGATCTCTACAGCAGCAACGTGAACAAAGTCACGACACTGACAGCCAACGTAAGTCCAGTGTTGCTGTAAAATCGAGGCGATGAGCCTGGTTTATCTGCTGCGCTGTCCGCGTCAGCACCCTTTGTGCTGGATGCTTCAGATCCTGAGCTGGTCTGTGTTGCAGATGAGACGGTGGTGGCAAGGGTGTTGCCGTTACTTGTGACAGTTGCCGTAGCCGGGGATGATGTGGTGGTAGAAGTCACTGATAGACTACCAGACTTCTCGGACGATTTTTTAGCCAAACCTGCAACTGTGTCAGCAAAACGCCTTCTCTCTGTCAAGCAATGTGTACATACCGATTTGTCCTTTCTCGGCATCAAATACAACATAGACGTTCTTTATGAATGATGCACCGAGCAGGAAGGCCCCCTTGACAACCTCTTGGCCATAGAGATTGCTCGTGCATTTTCCAGCATTGTTCTGAGGGGATACCCAATCCTTGGCAGAGACGGTATAGTCGACACCCGAAAAGGTAAATGACAAGTCCTTGCTGTCGCAGGGAACTCTGAATGACGTTCCGTCAGAAGACTCGGACCCGGGAATCGTATCGTGAAGCTTCTTAACCACGTCCTTTGGACCAAACATGTAAGTGGTTCCGGTGTCGATGTAAGCAGGAATTCCACCGACGCTGGCCTTTTTCCCATCATAAGCCATATCACCGATCTGAATAGCCCAGTCGGTTTTTCCTTGGACCGTCGCGGTATATGTGATATCACCAGTGTACTTGTCACTGTCAGGCCCTCCGAAGCTGATTTCGCCCTCGTTGTCTCCGTCGGATGCACGGTGAAGAGAAACCCCAAAGACTGATTCCTTAATCTGTCCGGACGTCTTGATTGCGCTGAGGAAATTTTGATTGGCACCGTTGTTCCGGGAGAGACCCAGGATTCCGTCAAAGGCAAAGTTGACGAAATCGTCGGACGTTTCTGACGCAATACCAAACTCATAGGTCAAGTTCATCCTCGCCACGCTAATCTTGTCGGTCACGATCTTTCCCTTGACTTTTCCGGAACCGTAGGTTATCGAGAAGTCTTTGCCGCTATCCGTGAGAGAGCTAGAGTCTTTGGAGCCAAAGGAGTTGTGTAGAGTGCATGCCTTTGAGGTACAATCGGTTCCCATAACCCAACTCGAACCAGCCCCGGTGTCGAGGAGCAAGTAGAGCTCCTTGCCGCCTGATCCGAAGTTTGCGCCTATGAAGTAAGAGTAATCTGTACCATCTTGGTCGATCCCCGTGGTCATATCCTTCCCGGATTCTTTGGCGACCATAACGTTATAATTGTTGGTTCTCAAGGCTAAGGAGGCCTCGTCCATGCCATCGGCCTGCCGACTAGCATATTTCTCTGCTAAGCGATTTACTTCCCGCGACAATCTTTCGGGTGTTGGGCTTGTAATCTGCAAGAAATTAGTTCCTGGATGAGCTTGAGCACGGCTTTTCAATATGAACCAACATACCCCGTTTCCACGTTGCTTGATGCCAAACTTCCTTAAGCTGCTTACACCATTGGGTCTTGAATCATCGATGCTCCTCTTGCTCTGTTCCGCGAGCCATTTCGGCATCCATGGATAGAAAGCTAATGCTGGCGAGGCGCATAATGCCAGCTGGGTGAGGACGAGTGTGGGGCGCATGATGAACTGAGCAGAGTCGAGTACCTGAGAATGTCCGGTACCGCGCTCTTATTAAGTATTAAGTATTAGGAAAATGAAACGAGCATCTCTAGGCACAGCCGATGAGATTGGATGGTTGCGATTGATGACGGAAAGATCACGAATGCTGGATGGGACAATTGTCGAAAACACACAAAAGACAGGCGCAGGGGAATATCTAAGACAACGATCGCGATGAGAGGCGCCACTGGCGAAAAATAAACGAAATAAACAAGCAGACAGACAGGCTCGGCATACACGAGTCGAATTGGGATTGGATTTCAGCTTCTTCCCGGGCAAATAAATCAAATATGGGTCGAGAGAAGCACTTGCAACGAAGGAAAGCAAGAACTGAACCAGACGGCAAGGCGGCAGATGATATTAAGCCGACAAAGAGGAGAGGGAGGGGAAGGGAGGAGAAGGGAGGCTGGAATAGGTAGGTGAACGAGGAGGGTGTAGCGAGGTGGCGGAAATGTACATTTGTATGTAAGTCATCCCCACAGCCTGGAGGATGTCGGCCGATGATCCAATACCCACAATTGGGATTCGGAGCAGGTACGAGCTTTGTTGGGCCTCCCTCGACAGCCGACTGGACAAATTAGTCCCGGGCAAGAGCAAATTTGCCAAGCGCCAGCCGCCCGCTGCGAAGCAGAAGGGCCCCTCGTGATGAGCCTGCCTATCTGAGGCAGGACAGTACGCTACGGGACGCTGTAGCTGCTGCTAGCCCCCATTCCCCAGGCTGCAGCTACAGCGGCGCCAGCAACCAGGACCCTGCCGCGCCAGGCCAGCCTCGGCCACGCTCCACTGATCATGACGGTTGCTGCAGGCAATTGAGTGGACGAGGCCGTGGTAGCGCGCCGTTTAGGGGCCGAGCCTGCAAGGTCTAGGAGGGGAAGCTCCAGGACCCATACCAGCTATCTGCATATTAATCTTACAAGGTGCATGCTCTCGCCCGATATGATGCCGGCGATGCCAGTCCTGGACGGCTGTGTGCCAGAATATGACTGCTTGTGGCCTGCCCGCCATCGCCCGCAGCGAGGACAACCCTGGACCGACACCTGCTTCTGCCGCACAGGCCATGCTTACCGTTGTCACCGGACCACCTGCTCGAGTGCGACCACACACACACAGACCTTGGCCGCGGATCGAAATTGCCGTGCACATCATATACGCCAGCAGCGGTATATCGAACCAAGTCGCTAGCCGTCCTCATTGCCGTGGTGACTTGGACCTCTATCACGCCGCCATTCGCTCATCTCTCTTAGTGTCGAAACATAAATTGAGATCTTACAGATCAGTCATGGTACGTTTCGTTCCAAGGCCCTAGCGCCAACGCGCAACATGGCGAGAAGAACCATTCCGTGCGCCCCCTGCGCGTCAGGCCAGCTGCGATTGGCCCTAATGGGGAAAGTAGGATTGTGGGGGGAATGCTCGCACTGAAGGCCTTAGTCTAGCTTGTCTAGTTCCATGGATTTCAGCCCCTGGATAGCACGGACGCTGCCTCCAACCTTCTTCAGAATCGCCAATCAAGGACGCCATCTGCAACACCGTTTATCTGGTGGCTTACGGGTGAGAACGGTGGCAATTTGGAGAAGCTCGTTGTTGCCAAGTTCTGGTATCAAGTTCAGTTCGCCCGTACATTCTGACAACCCTCGTATTTCTTCTCCCGTCTGTGGAAGGGCTGCTGCGAGACCATATCGGCATGCGCGGAGCTACGTAGACCAGCATCCGAGTACCACACTTCAACAATATGCGCATATTGAACATGCGATGATCACGTTTCAGAAGGTTTTTGGCGCGGTTAATCACATTTTATCTTAATTGCAGGCTCAGAACTCCAAAGCGAGTCGAACCCAAAAAGCAACTACCACCACCAAGTGGAGCTACTAACTGGGTGTTAGTCTGCAGATCACTTCATCCTCTGGAGCTAGGACGTAAATCTCGCGCTTGAATCAGGAACAATTTTGAGCCTCCAGGGGTTGGATCGATCGTCGTGAGACATTTATCAGTTAATACTCCAGCTCGTAGATATGCTAATTCAGGGGGGAAAGACAGTATTGGAATTGAAAAGTCGGGTAGAGGCCGGAAGGGCTACGTTTAACGCCTTGTCATTCCATCTTATTAAAGCCTGTCCCTTGATGGTCAGATTGACTCGGCCATGGCAAATTCTACCACGGAATACACCGGAGTAGGCAAGAGAATCGTACATAGAACACCAAAAAAAATTTAACATATCCTGCCCATAATCCCAAGATGAGCCCCGGTATAACTTCGAGAACACAATGCCACAGAATTCTGAAGAGTGCCGGACACTGATCGATTCAGCCTAGAACCATCAATAGAAGCTGTTGGTTCTTGCCTGGTTGGACCGGAGAGACAGGCAGGGAGTCAGTACTGTTTTGGTGTCCAATGTCTTCTGCCACCAGTCGACATCTCAGATCGAGAAACAAAACCGGCGCCCTTATGCCCCTGCCATTTGTTGTAGATTCGGAGTAATCATTCGTTCGCTCCATATGTCTCTAGCCACCACAAAGCTTGTTCCAAACTCTTCCCCTCATCACCATCTCGTTGGCTTGCCTTAAGTCCGATGGCTGCGTGTGAGACCACTTGCTGGGTGATGTCTGCTCGTCCCAGTGTAGCTACACCGCGGAGGAAGCACCATACGGATTCATTCCTCCATTGGAATGACTGCGTCAACTTCAGGGCCTTGTCCACTGCCGTCGGAGCGAGCTCTGGGCATTTTGCCAGTAGGAAATGCAGAAATGCCCAACCGGAGATGTCATCGTGGTGGCTGAAACACCATGACTCGGCTGCTGTCACCAGCCTGGAGAGTAGCTCTCTATCAGGAGTTCCGATATCAACCAAAAGCCGGGCATGACACCATGCGTAATAATTTCGTGGATGTCTAACACCTGATACAAACACGACATCCTTGAGGTCCTGCTCAATATCCCCGAGGAGGCCTCTCCTGTTGGCCTGGTCGATGACCCATCGTCGATGGTTCCAGAGGGTTGGAGACTTGGTGTGTCTATGTAGGCGGCTCGTAAGAAGACTGTCAACGAAGTACTTCTCAGCATTTAGTAAACTTTGAATCTCTTCCGTATTGGTGTTGATCTCATTCTCGAGCACCTTCTTCCTGAGGTTGGCTGCAGTGAGATGTTCGGGGTCCAGAAGCAGTGTCACCGCCGTACAGTCCCGTATTGTCTGGAAATTCTCTGACTTGACGATCCCGATGCCTCCATTCAGTGTTTCCCGAGCCATGAGAAATGCCTGCACGAGGCATAACTTCGGAATGGCGATTGCATTTTCGTCTTGCAGATATGAGATGCCGGGCTCCAATGGATGGCTCAAACCCAGCACCTCAAACTCAAGAAAGCTGTCAAAGCGCTGATTCACAGCAGAGACAATATCACGAAAGACCTTACCATGATCAGCATGCTTCAAGGCTTCCTTTACGCTGCTATCCAAAGCTCTGGACATTGGAGTTGAGTTGAATATTTTAGGTTGATGGAGCTGTTAAGGTCTAGGGTAGCCACATACAAGGGACACGGTTTTGGCTCCGCTGGCATGATGACATCGCCCGCACAGATCCGCTGGGACTTCATGCTTTTCTAGATTACCATCATAGGTGTTACAGAACGGCACGCTCTTCCTCGCCAGGACCTCCCGCCACCATGCCCTCCTCCCTGCTCGTAGTCGTCTTCGTTGTCGAGGCGGCGGTTCGCCTCATCAATGCTATCGGAGCCGCAAGGATCAACGAATTCGTACGTGCATTGCCAATCTGTCTACTAAGGAAACCTTACTCACAGGACACCAGCTCTGGACGGCGATAAACTACCTCCCGGTTCCCACCTCCAAGGCCGCGGCCGAGCAACGGAAGCTACAAGCCGACTACCTCAAAGTACGAAACGAGTTGAACGCAACCAGCAGCCAAGATGAGTTTGCGAGATGGGCCAAGCTCCGTCGACAGCACGACAAGCTGCTCGAGCAGCTTGAGGCCAAGAGTACGTGGCGGGCAAAATTCGAAGACTGGGCAAACGACATCATGCTAACTACATATCTTGCAGAGAAGAGCCTGGAGGGCTCCCGATCCAAGTTCGACAACATCTTCAGCGCTCTTCGGCTGGTCTTGACGAAGGCTCCGCAGTTCATCATTCCATTCTGGTATGCCACGGAGCCCATGTTCTGGCTTCCTCATGGCTGGTTCCCATACTACGCCGAATGGATCATCTCATTCCCCCGCGCGCCCCTCGGAAGTGTCAGCATCGCCTCGTGGCAGCTTGCCTGCACCGGCCTGCTGACGCTCATTAGCGACCTGATTACGGGTATCTATGGCCTCGTTTACAGCACAAGCCAGGCACAGGCAGCCCCTACGACGAAAGAAAAGTCGGGTGCAAGGAAGGAAAAGCCCGTCGAGAGCCAGAAAGAGAAATAGAGGTTGCACAGGGGGATATGCGCTTGCGAAGTTCCCAATAGACCATACATGTAGTGTAAAAACAAAATAAAAAACATCGAAAATTCGCATTTTACGTTTACGTTGAGATGTATCTCTTAGAATTTTGACGCAAAGTTCCTCATCGCTGACGCTGAGACTTTGTAACACGACAGAGAATGACCCTTGGCAGGGTACTTGGGGATCGTTCTAGGCAGGCTTTATGACTTTGACGACCATCGAGAAAAAGATCGCCAAAGCTTCGAAAGCGCCAATTGGAAGCGTTGGACATCACGGTTGAGTAGGGGAGCTGCAATGCGAAGAAGGAAGCAGACAGTATATTCATAATGTGCTATCAAGAGCCTCGTGGCTACAGGAGTGCAACTCCGGGTTGTAGAAAAAGAAGGGTTGAGTGTGAATATATTTTTAAGGAAGAAAGGAAAATGTGAAAGGAAATTTTTGGCTCCTTGAAATAGACGCTGTTACCTTTCCCCACACTGATTGCCCATGGCGGGACCCACCTTGTTGTTCACCCATTCCGTCATTCGCAGCCTTGCCCAGCAGACGACACCTTGCACCCTCTAGTGCTTCAGCCTTGACGAGGGCGAATACTTGACTCTCCCTTGGATTGAATGAGAATATATTGAGTTTCGCACCTCGTGTCCTTTCTACGAGCAACGCCAGACTCTACAATATCTGGCATTATGGGCGTCTCGTGGGAAAAGTAAGTACTATGCTTGGTCATAGCTCTGGAGGACACTTATTAACATGTTGGGCTTTAGTATCCGCTCGCTACTCATCTTCTTCGGTCCCATCTTGCTACCCAAGGCCTATAGCTGGTATGGGTCATTCCGAAATTCTCATCGTGGTGGAGCTTCGATACAGCGTGTCCCCCAACCCGTGCAGATTGCTCTGGCCGTTTTGTTCGGCCTCTGCTGCACGTACATCATTAAGACTTTGCCCTACTTCGCACCCGAGAACCTCTTCACCAAAACCGAGAGCCGCATCCAGATCCCGGTCGACGTGCTGTTCAACCGTATCGCTGCCACACGCCCCAACAATGCCTTGACGGAGGAGGACCTCGCCCTGAGAGGCAAGTTCGTCAACTTGGAAAGCCGCCTGCTCTACTTGCAGTTCGGCCCCCGCGTCATGGCCGAGTGTCCATTCTGCACCTCCGACGAGCCCAAGAGCTACTTCTACTACGCCATCCCCGACATCCTCTGGCCTCACCTCGCCAACCTCGTCGTCATTGCCGTCGTCACAAGCCCCACCTGGACGGGCAAATATGGCATCCAGTGGCGCACCCTGGCCACCATCGCCGCTGCTGTGCTCGCCATCGTCGAGATCTCCATCGTCAGCTCGTACAACTACCAAGGAAACGCGCGGGCCCTCCGGCTTGGAGACTTGGACATGTTCTTCTGGACCCTGAGGAATTACCGGCTTGTCTTCCTCGCTCTCCTGGACGGGGTCCTGGGCTGGGTGCTCTACCTCTCCGCCACGAACCGTGCATTCACGCAGCCCCCGTCGCCTGCCGAGCGAGTCGAGAAGATCAACCGGACCTTACTTTCTGCGAAGAGCAAGATGAATGCTCTTGGGATCATGAGGAACACTGCGTTGCGGGACGAGGATCTACGGTCCCGCAGTCACGCCTATTGGAGCCACGAGGTTCGTCTTATGAACGAGGTGATGGAGGATAGGGACGTTATCGACGGCGTGAATGACGCGCTGTCCAACAGGATCAACATACAGGATATTTCCAGGGACGCCGAGTCCTACGCCGAGAATGTTCTGCAGCCGCTGGACGCTGAGTTATGAGCGGTTGATGAATGGTAGAATCAGATATACTAGGTCTCTGAATACCTAATACAAATACAGCGGTCAACTTCCCTCAAAACTTTCTAGATTTAGGGCCCGTCCCATTCCTTATTCAAAACTCCCGGTGTGATCAAGCTTGTTGTTACAATGGTCTGGACCCTCGCTTGATATTCATTTAACATAGTATGGGAAAGCCTCTCGTGTCAACGCAACACCCTTCCTCCGAGTCAAAACTCCTTTTTGTATGCCTTACTTCTTTCCCGCCCTGGAATCAGGCCGTGTGAAGCCGAAGTGACCAATGTTTGGACTTGCAATACTGCCAATGTTCGGACTGGCAATGCTGCCCATTTTTGGGCTGGCGATATTGCCAATGTGTGGACTGCTGAGACTGCCAATGGCCGGGCTGCTCATAGCGTCCCTTCCTTCCAGCGCACTGCGTTCGAGGAAACTGGCCCACAGCTCCGCTAGGGTTTCCTTGTCTCTGGAGCCCGAGGGTTCGGAGAAGACTTCTGCAGATAGTGAAGGGGAGCTGGGCGTTCTGTGGAAGGGTGACATCGGGAGGCGAAGGCTGCCGCTCGAGGCCCCTGGCCTGGCGAGACCGGCCTGCTCACGCTGCTCGTCAGTCCAGTTGAGGTAGCCTGCCATGACCTGGAGCACTTGGAAGCGCTTCGGGTCCCCGCGATCCAGCGTGAGGAAATGGAGGAGATGGTTGGTGACAATTTGCCTGGGGGACCTCTCGTTAGCCAATCCCACGACGGGTCGGGTGAATGATTGGAAGTTCAAATACGTACCTGTCGACGTTTTCTTCGGGCTTTGTCTTCTTTAGGTAGCGAAGTGCCTTGGTTAAGTGATCATTTAGGACAATCGCTTCGTGCCTCAACTTCCCAATCAGAAGGTTCTTTTCCTTAACCTCCTTTTCATACGGAGCAGTTCGTTCCAGTTCCGCGGTAAGCTTCTCCTTCGCCTGTACGGCTTCAGCGGCACGGGTCTCGGCCTCTTGCAGCAGCTTCTTCTGTGCCCCAAGCTGTTGATCCGTTGACTCGATGACGTCTCGCAGCTCGGCCTTCCTTGCGTCTTGGATTTCACGCAGAGCATTCTGAAGATTGGTTACCAGGGTTGATTGGCTCTCACGCTCCTCCGCAGTGCTCTCATAGTTGGTGCGGAGAACCACGACTTGTTCCTCGAGATCAGCCATCTTATCCTGCAGACTCTCCTTCACTGAGCGCTCCTCCATGGCAATGACTTCCCACTCCCCCATGGCGTTTGACGTCGTGTCTAGCTCCTGTTTCAGGGTCTGGACGGTTTTGGCCATCTCGTCCCGCTCTTTTTGCCAGTTTTGCGCCGAAAGGTTATTGCGACTTCTCAGGGTCGTAAGCTCTCGCATCGCATCGGCCAATTCTTCCTTCATCTTGGCGACGTTGGTATCCGTTGACTCTGCCGACCCCCGGAGCGCTTCGTTTTGTGCTTCTAGTTCCTCTATCCGCTCTTTTGCTTCCTCTAGTTCCTCTCTGTCCCGCTTCAGCCTGCCGCTCAGTGTCTCCTTGATCTGTCCCACACGGCCCAGCAGGTTCTGATACTGCTCCTCGGCCGTCTCCTTGGCGGCGTTGCTTTCCTCCACCTCCGTGCGGAGTTCTGAGGTCTCCGTTGCGTGGTGTTCTTGTATTCTCTCAAGCTGCTTGCGCAGCTGTTCCACCTCGGCCCTGAGGGCCTCTCGCTCCTTGCCCATTACCTCCAACTTGGCTGTGGTATCCGAGCTGCCTCGATCGCCGTCTGTCGTGGTGGATGGGGGGACCACGTGCCCATTGCTCGGAGAAGCATTCTCTGCGTTGTCTTGAGAGTCGGCCTGTCCTTGTTGTGATGTCTGCCAGATGGTCTGTGAATAAAGCTCTCCTGAAATAAATTGGGTAGTATCGGGAACCTACGTCCTGCGTTGGTGTCTCTGGTTCGTCATCGCCATCCTCGACCTCCTTCTTGGTGTCATCGGTTCCTGTCAGGTCCTTGTTCTTGTTTGCGCCCTTCTTCTTCTTATTGTTCTTCTTCTTCGAGGCTGCGCAATCGACCAGATGTCAGCATTCAAAACATTTATCTCCACACGAAATGCCAAAGGCCAGACTCACCGGAGTTGGATGCCTGAGTCGCATCTGCCGCAGCTGTGGAACTCATCGTGAATATCGAACAAGGACTCCAGCTGCATCTGAATGGCTGTGTTTCGTGAAGCCAATGGACTCGGTGGTGGGTGGTGTCGCGGCAGATTCAACCCACCAACCGCAGCGGACAATGTTCGTGGCCAGGGCAGCTATTGACGGGTTTGGCGTGAGTACGCATCCATCCGATACCTCATCTAAGGTAAGGCCCGCTAACCAGTAAGGCCAGGTTGTCCAGCGCCAGCGCAGGGAGCCAGGGACTGTGGCCGCAGCGGGGATCTCATTGGTTGGGGTCTTGAGACCTTCCCGGGTCCGGTGTGTGCTAACGTCCTCGGCTCTGACAGGTAGAATCGTGGCACGAGGCTCTGACGTTTTACAAAAGACAGAGATCTTAAATTTAGATATGCAGATTAATGATGCCACCCTTCTCGGTATGTTTCATCAAGGCAACTCTGTCTTGCACTCTCTGTAACTTCTATCCAACGGCCGGAGGCAGGTAGCAGACAACGGCCTGGGTTAGTCAGCAGCCCCATGGGACCCAGGCACCACTAGTATTAATTCTACCCGGCCCTGGCGCCGAAATCTCGGTTTCTTTTCTCTTCATCTTACAATCATCTTCGCCATACAAACTATTGAATGAGAACCTATTACAGTGGCTTTTTCACAAACTTGCGCGAAGTAGATGATTTCGCCTTTCATAATCCCGCTGCTTGCTCTCTTCTGTGGGTGCTGTGGGTTCGCTTATGCGCGTACATTTATTCAATCACATCAATAATTCTTCGTAGCTATCGAAAATCATGTAACATTTTGCCATTAAACCAATGCGCCAACTATCTAACTAACAGGCCGCGCTTCATGCCTTGGCTTTCTTTCCTTTTGCTGCCTTCTTTGCCTTCGGTTTGGTGACCTTGGTCTTGGGAGCAGATATCGACTTGGGCTTCTCCTCTTCCGGGGTGTCCTCAACAATCTTCTCTGCGGCAGGTGCTTCAGCCTCCTCCTCTGGCGCAGCCTCAATGGCCTTGCTCTCAGCATTCTCAAGCTCCTTGGGTGCAGGGGGTGGGATGGCCTGAATCGCTGGCGCCTCGAACGTGTAGCCAATTTTCTTGAGCAGGTCTGCGGACTTGTTGCGCTTGTTCTGCTCCTTGGTGACCTTCTTCTTCCACGAGGCCTCGCTCAATGGCTTCTCCAGGTTCTTGCCAGCGAGCTTGTTCCAGGGCACCTTCTTGAACCTCTTGTTCGCTCCCTTGAAAATATCGTCGTGGGCTTGCTCCTTGGGAAGAACCTTGCACTTGAGGATGTGCCCAAACAGGAGGTAGTTGTCCATGGTCTTGGCCACGATCTCGGCGGTGCTAGCCTCCGCGAACTCAATGAAGGCGAAGTGCTTGCTGGCGCCCGTCTTCTTGTTTCTCGACAGCCGGATCTGAGTAACAGTTCCGAACTGGGAGAAATATTGCTTCATCTCGTGCTCGTAGAAACCGTGGGGAATGCGGCCGACGTAGATAATACCAGCCTCTCCGCCACTGGCAGCCTTGGCGGCCTTCTGCACAGCCTGGGAAACATCAGGAATCTTTCCTACAGGCTGGCCGGGCTTGTAAAGACCGGCATCAGCGGGGGCCTCCTCGTCCTCGGGATCAAGCTCGGCGGCAAGAGCATCGACTTCCTCCTCCTCCTCAGAATCGCTACCCGCAGCCTCCTCGGTTTCCTTGGGAGGAGCTACGGCCTTCTTGGTCTTCTTCGCATTTGCGGCGGGCGAAGGCTTCTCCTTGGGCTCCTTTGCAGGGCTCTTCTTGGTCGACTTTTGCAGCTTTCGGGGAATGGGAGACTCGGCCTGGGCCTCGGTGGCCTTTCTCTTGCCCTTCGCGACGGGCTTCTCAGCTGCCTTGGCTGGCTTGCCCTCGGGTTTTTGGCTCTCAACGGCCGCTATGAAGAAATTGATTAGTGAAGGTAAGGAATGACATCAATTGCGACTCACGTTTTCGGGGTCTCAATTCTCGCGCCATCTTTGGTGATAATTGAGTTGGATCAGTGCTTTGTTTTTTCACTGAATCTGTCCCACGCAGACCAATATGGCCAAAAATTTCTGGATTCTGCCGTAGGTGTGAGCGGTGAGGCGCCTCTAGAGTTCTTATCGCCTATCGCGTAGGAACGGCAGTGGGGCAGAGTCGCTGTGGTTGGTGTAAGCTGCCTCAACCATTGCCTGGTGTTTCGCTGCTCTACTGAAGCTGCACTCGAGCCAAAAAGAGCTTGGGGAGTATCTTCCAGGATAATTTGCTATCTTATTTCGCCTGTTAGACACGAATTTGGATCTAAAAAATATCCAACTCAAAAATGGCACAAGCTTCATCAGGCTTGACTCATGACGAGATTTGGGACGATTCTGCACTCATCGAATCCTGGAATGATGCCTTGGCCGAGTATAAGGTGGACTACCTTTCCATTTGAATATTTTGGTTTGACCGGAATAAGCTAACCTAAAATGTTTCTAGAAATATCATAGCATTCATGCTAAGGGAGGAACTCTCGAGGATTTAGAGCGTGCTGTTGAGGCTGGGTATGGGCGGCTGTCTACACTTCTTTGGCATGCCTCTACTAATCTTTGTGTCCTAATAGTACTGATAGCGCTCCTGCCCCGGAAGAGACTCTGAAAGTAAATGATGAGCAACAATCAGAATCTAAGGTTGATGAATCTGCTGGAACCGACAAGAGCGAACCCAAGCCCCAAGTGGCTGGATTACCGGTGCCTTCTCCCCATGCCCTTCTCGGCACAGGTCAGTTTCGACAATCTACCCTATATAGGGGGCCCCATTGCTTCCATCATCCACTGACGTGGCTCACCACAGTAAAAGATGAAAATATGAAGAGACTCCTCATGTCCTGGTATTACGCTGGATATTATACTGGGCTCTACGAAGGCCAACAACAGGCCAAGTCTGGGAGCTAGGTAGTTATGCCCTACAGATGATGGTCAACGGACCAGTAATATGACTTTATGGGTTTGCTAGATTGGGATCCATGGCATTTTGTCTATTAATCTCTCACTAATACTGAAATGAGATGTGTATTATCATGCGGCAAGAGGTTAGTCCGGATTCTGATTCTGGTGGTTCTTTTGCTGGTCGAAGAACATATCAAGACTTAGACAGATTTAGTCAGTCACCAGCATCGTTGAAACGACAGAAGTCAAGTGATTGACATGTTCCCCAATCTGTCTTCTTTATACATGTATTGCCCAGATGTGACAAGATACCGGATAGTGGAAGAATGTATACCTACGTTGAGGTAGTCAGTGGTAGTCGTGGTGTTCCTAGGAAATCTGGTCCACCAGGAGAACATGTTTGCCACACGGCCACGACATCACGCAGTCTCACGATGCCAAGACTGGAGCTACGATGAGGGCTATGATTGGATTGTCGAAGCACGAGAGCATCGCACGGCGCCTGGGAGCCGAGAAGGCCCGAAACACATCAACAGCATGGGTAAAGAGACCCGGGCTCAGGGCGAGCGAGTTGTTGGGACATGCAGCAGAAAAGGCATACGGATAGGCCGCAAGGTTGCATTTTGACTAAATTTCAGCCCAAAGATAGACTCCTGATGCGCCTCGATCCCAGCACAACCTTATTCGCTCGCTCGTGTGCCTGTACCATGGAGCCATGCCGTGTTGTTTCGTGTCGGACCGGTGGGCCCGGCCGCTCTGTATCTCGCTGGCACGGTGCATCATCCATTTATTTGTCGGCTGCCTCACCGGACTTCTTAGCCTCAGCTGAGGGTTGATGGTACATTAGCACATGTCACTCCGGAGGGCGGCACTGGTCAGCATGTTGGGGAGGGTGGACGCACCAGCAGCCTGCTTCTTTCGCATAATGTCGGCGGCATCTTCCTTGGCCTTCTGCATCTGGGTGCCGCTCATGTTGTTTCCCTTTTTCTATAGCCGCCGGATATCAGCGCTTATGGCCTCTGCGTCCCTCGGGGCTTGGTCGCTTACCTGGGCGGCCTGCTTCTTCAGGTTGGCCTCGCGGGCCTTGTCGCGCTGGTTTCCACGGGCCATGGCTGTGTCGGTTTCGGGAGAGATGAGTGGTGATCGTATGTTGTGTGCGGTGAGCAGGCGCGTAAGCGTTGAGGTTTGGGATAGGAAAGAGAACGGCCAGAGCGAAAGGCTTATACAAGGGCTGTGCAGCAGCGAATCATTTTCAGCCTCTACTGCGGTGGGGCTGATTCATTGCGGTTTCTGTATCTGGGATTGGATTTACACTGAATTGCGGCAGGGGTCGCTTTAGGGACTGTGAATTGAAGGGCAGCAAACATTGAAATCGCCCGTTCACAAAGGGTTGCTCTATGATATTGAATTCCATAACAGTGATAGCTTGACTCAATGCATATGATTAAGCTGTGGTGTGAGGCGAGAGGTCTCTGACCTGGGTGTGCTTGCATTCCAATTCATGCCATAAGGGCACTGTATAGGTACCATGCAACTACACCGACTCACGTCCTGACATGATCTGGATCGGAGGCGGGCATGTTTAAAACCGTGGTATCTGTGTGTGTATAGAACGAGAATGGCAATTGAGATATTATTACTACAATTTGCTCGAGAGACAAATCAAGCACTTTTCCCGCATGCATTGACATGTGGTTCGCTTATGCGCGTAAGTGGTACTGGGCTAATTACTACTAGTAAGTACCTGTAGTGGGTGAATGACGCTGGATTGGCATTGCATGTCTGTATGTGCTGTATAATATGTGTTCCTACATAGGTAGCACGCATATATTGAAGCCAGTGACCTAATAATAGGATTCACACGACTTACCGCCGGCTAGGCAGCCTGCGAGTGCTTTCACCCCACGGGAAAGCACGTCGCAGAGCTCTGCCAAGAGTGCCTGTGGTTGCCTGCCGTCCTGTCGAGACTGATTTGCTTGTTGCACCACTTTGGCCTCCCCGATGCAGTATGACTGGCTTCCCGATGCCACCCACTTATTAGCCGCGCTACATGGGTACACTCTTTGCTAAACTTCTGTGAAACG